AACTGTATAATAAAAAATGTTAAACTATCTTTATAGTTTACTTTTTATAAATCTCTCTGATTATATATAAATTATTAAAAAAAATAACTTTTTAAATGTCTTTTAACAATGTCTAAAGATCTAATCAAAGAATAAAAGAATCCTTAAAATTTTTCACTTACAAACTAAAAAACAAATCCTTTCTCCTTTTTCGTTTTCTTTTTTCTTTTTTCCTCATTTTGTGCTTCTTTATTGTATGTCCCGTCATCCCAGCCTCTATTTTTTATGATTTTTTTTTTTTTTTTCCTTTTTCTACTTAGTTTATGAATCATAATCTTACATAAACACACACTAAATCTTAAAAAGAAACCTACTCCCTATATATTTAACTATATAAATATTTTATCCTATTTTATATTTAATGTGGGCTAGACCCACTTACCAACAAATGTCTTAAGGTTAATAATGTTAAATAATTTAATAAGATTAATAAATAATTATATCCTAATCACATCCCACATGATTGGTTGAGGAAACCTCACCATAAGACCCAATCACACACATCATTATTGAAAATATAAATAAAAGTTAAATAGAAATTGCAAGAGTAATGGGGTATGAATGAAAGCTAATAAAAGTTATACATAATGTTATGCAGTAAAGTAGAATATATAAAGACAAATTTACAAACACTTCAACTTATTCAAATATTAAATTTAAATCAAGAGTATGTTCTAATAAATTATCTCTTTGTATTATTGATTTAAATTATTTAAATTTATAACGGTAACTGATATGAAATTACTCTCTAATTTTTTCTTAAATTATCTATATACACATTATGGGTACACATGCAACGTAAGTTTAGTCTTAATTTATAATTTTTTAAAAAAAATTAAGATAATCTTGACTTTTAACTCAAATGACAACATCAAATTTTAATATCACCGTGGAAAATAATTTAAAACTTGAAAAGTATATTGTTTTAACAACAATTTGAGGGTAATGTATATTATAACAATTGATAATGTTATTATTTGTTATAAATTCTTTTGACATACCCACTTAAAACAAAAGGAAATTAACAAGAGATTATGTCATTATATTATATTGTATATATATGTGTGTGTTTATTTATGAGGCAAATCACATGAATTCGGACAAGCCAATGAAAGAATTCACGTATATTAATACAACATATCACATGGCACAGCCTAGCTAATGAGTAATCCGCGAGCATCTACCTCTTGCTGCTTCTTGGCCTTCGCTATTTATGGTAATTAAATCTCAAAACTTATCCGCAAGATCTGTTTTCGAGATTTGCTTATGGGATAGTAAGGTGATTAATAGTGATACCCTAGGATAACAATGACCGGCACACACATATATATATATATATATATATTTATATATATATATACACACACATACATACTTGTATTATATTTTACCTGTACGTATCCATTATTCTACCATTCTTATAATGATATAAGTTATGTATCGTGTATATA